TGCCACAGCAGCAGGAGCAGCTAATCCGATAGCACATGGACAGGCGGCGCAGCAGACAGCCACCCCAAAGCGCAGCGCAAACAAAAGGCTATCCCATGTTAATACCCAGCTGGAGAGTCGACATGCTGCAGCAGCTGCTGCTGCTTCATGCGCAGACACAGGAGTATCCCCCAAAATAGGAGGAGATATGGGGGTAGAACGAGCCGGGCCAGTTGCTGTTAAGAAAATGCCTTGGGTTTCAAAATGCTGCTGTTGCTGCTGATGCTGCTGCTGCAGCTTCTGCTGCATCTCGCTGCCGGATACACCCTCCCTGAGCTCCAACTCATGCAGACGCTGCCGCATCTGCTGCAGCGGAGACAGGGGGAGTGTGTGTGCAGCAGCAAAGACTTTAACAGCCCAGGAAACCACTGCAACAGCAGTGATGCACAATACTATGGGAATAAAATAAGTAGCAAACTTCTCAGCAGCCTTCTGCAGCGGCTGCTGCTGCTGCTGCCCCGTCTCCACCAGTCGCAGCAGTGTCTGCAGCACGGACGAATCGCCAACCTGCGCCCACAGCAGCAAAGCAGCAGCAACAGAAGCACCACCAGCGGCATCAGCGCCAGCAGCATCAGCTTCAGCTCCAGCAGCAGCAGCAGCACCAACAGCACCAGCACCAGCACCAGCAGCATAACCAACAGCACGCGATGTTGTCTTTCATCCTGCCCCCTTGTCAGCATATCCAACTTTCTTTTCAAATCTCCAGCTTGCAGAGTCCCGGCTTTCTCTTCCTTAGTCTGTCGTACGTGCTAAGAATTTGTGCTTTTGCGCTTTAGGGTTTAGGGTTTGGGGTTTAGGGTTTAGGGCCTAGGGTTTAGGGTTTAAGGGTGGCGACGGACCACCTGGATCTGAACGAAGGCGTCTGTATGCGAAGCGTTTCGGCTGCCCCCAATAACCCGCTGCCCCGCCACCTTGCAAACCCCGCGGCCCTCCCCTGATAGGAGCCGCTCGTCTACATGCAGTAGAGAGGGGGCCTGGGGAGAAGCAGAAGAGCGAATACAAGACAGATGAAACCAACACGGGATGATTATAAAGAGCAGATAAAAGAAATATTAAAGGGAAATGAGAGGCAAAGAAAACGCAAACAAAATACGACTGAAAGAAATACAGAACGTAGGGTGAACGCGGGAAAGAGAAGAAAAAAGTGATACGCCACACAAACCACCGCAAAGGAACCGAGAAGACAGAGTAACAACGAAGAGGCCGAGTTGTCGTTACAAGTGGAAGAGAAGGAGAAAAGAGATACGACAAAGCATATAAACACAAGCACAAGCGAATGCAGGGGCTGTCCCCTTTATAAACCATCAGCTGTAGAGACAGCACAACAGGGGGGCGAGAGTGCAATCGGTCTATACTCTCCAGCACCCCGTGACGGTCAAACCAGCTTTCCGTTTTGGGTTTAGGGTTTAGGGTCTAGGGTTTAGGGTTTCCGGTATAGGGGTTGAGACTTAGTGTTTCAGACTTCGGGTCTAGGGTTTAGGTTTTAGGGTTTAGGGTTTAGGGTTTCGGGGGGAGAGGGCTGCTCCTTACTAGTAGAATTCCGTCCGCTGGTAGGACTTCCTGGGGAGGGACCCTGACGACGTCCCCGGCCTGCAGCAGTTCAGCGCTGATGGTGATTTCCTCAGGATCATTTCTTTGTGTCGTTTGTGTCTCCGGTGTTTCTGCTGCTTCTTCTTCTTCTTCGAGCAGGTCTTTCTTCTGCTTGCAGCAGCAGGAAGGTTTGCCGCTGTCGGGTGCCTCATCTGCTTCGTCTGCATCTGCAACACCCCAAGAGGCGGGCTGAGTGA